TTCTTTTTATTAAAAATTCTTATGGTCGCACTATAAATCTTGTTTGCCAATCAAAAAAAGTTGCGGAATGTTAAAATGTTAAAAAAAAATTCGAAAAAGCAGACTTGCGTTTTGGCTGAAAAAATAACAAATAAATTTTCATTAAGTGGATAAGTGAGGTTTTACTTGTTTTTTCATAGAAACAAATGAAAATTAATGACTACAATAACTAATTTCTCGACAATAAATTAACTCTTGCTTTATTTTTTGTGGAAAAGTAGAATAAGATTAATGACCCAGTAAATAACATTTACTATTTTTTTTGTTTTTGCTAAAAAGCGTTTACTATTTCGACTATAAATTAATCCAGTAATTAACTCAACTTATATAATCCAATACGACCATAAACCGCTTGACACTATTTAAACTCAACAACCAATATTTATTACTATTATGACCAATAGGCAATAGTTGTCGTCGCATGTCGTTGCATGGCATTGCATGGAGTGAAAATATAATAATAATTTTTATTTTGAGTTTATAAATTGAGTAGTTATCTTTGCTCCTTTTATAATACTTAAAATTTTATTATTTTTTTTTTAAATTCCGCTATTTATAATAGTCTTTTATGATATATCAAATAATATTTAATTATATAGTAAAAACTCATTTATAAATTTTTATTTTTCCGTCATTCCGCAAAATTTATCCATTCGAACAATAATTTCATCCCGCAAGTTTTCATTCCACAGAAAAATAAAGCATTCCACGGATTAACTTTTTTCCCATCATTCCGCAATTATGCGGTGTTACCAATCGTGAAATTATGCAGTGTTACCAATCGTGAAATCCCGCAGATTAATTTTCATATCAAAACTAAGTTGAAATACGAAAATAACACTTCTTTTGAAGAAATGCTTTTTTAAAAACACATGGTGAAAGAAAAAGAAAATCATAGCTGAGTGGCTAGTCTATTTTATATATATGATGAATCCCATATAGGTGTGGAATTATCTATTTTTCCACTCATCTTTTTATTAGTATTTTTTCTCTCTTATTGAGGAGTACCAATTTTTAGTGTAAAAACTTTTTTTTTTGTTATTTTGTGAAGCTAAATAAAATTCAAAAAAAAAACAATTTCACTATAGATGGTAGATTTTTAGAGTATGTTGTGGAGCCCAATAAAATTTAAAAATACATTTTTACTATAAATGAAATTTTTTTAAAAGATTTCAATGGAATTGTTAATTCAACCTATTTTGTTTCTTCTAGTATGTCAAAACCACTGCACCCTTATAATTATTAAATTATAAGAAACAATTTATATAAGAATAGAACCTTCTTGTTCTTCCAATCTTCTCCGCAAGAGGAAAATAGTATATCACGACCACCATCCATGAATATATCAATAGCTTTTGATTTCTGCCTGTTTGCGAACTGAATATCGTATGTTTTCATGATGTCATGACTTACATCAGGGCAAGTGACCACGAGAACAGGAGCACGCCCGAAATGAAGGAGCATAAGTGGTCCATAGCGGAGGCTGAGAGTATGGAGAGCACGATGAGGGTTAAGACTGAGCTGATGGAGGTTTCCTATCACCGGAAGTCGCCATGGAGATGGCAACTTAGGTTTTGTGGTAGTGATTCGTTTGATGAGTGTTTTTAGGAAAATGGCTAAGAAAGGGGTTAGACACAAAGCAACTAATATCAATTCCATATTATGTTTGATTGGTAATTGTGTGATTTGGCATATCTCTCTACTTTGGGTTTTATAGTGTGTAAAATTATAACACAATATTATATATTTAAAAAAGATGTGAATATAGATTAGGTGAATATCAAATTAGAGAGCTCTATTTTCACATATAGTTAATGTCTAAATATTTGTAGTATACTAAAAATAGGGGAAAAAAGCTTATCATGATAAGAATGTATTAAATGGAATAACAATAATTTTTGTTAGAAACTACTAGTATTTAGGATAAATAAAATACACATTTAGTTGTAACATTAAATGCAAACATTTAAAGTGTTTTACTCGAAATAAGAATATTCACTTTTCAAGAGAAAAGACAAATTAAAAAAAAAAAGTATTTGATTTTTAAAATAACATGTATTATCTGAAAATTAAACGGTAAATTTACTTGCTTGTAAGCAAAATACCTAAGATGATTGAAAAATATATAAATAATCCAAATAATCAAAAAATATTATACAAGGTTTATACGATTAAACCTAGGAAAATTTTAATAGAAAAATATATAGTTAAAATAAAACAATAAAAAATAGAACCAATATTGTCTTGA